ACGAAGGTAGAACTGAGAAAAAAATATTTAAAAATAAATATTTATTTAATAATTATTAGCAATATGTTATTTAATATAGACATTTTTATAAAACCAAATAAATAATATTTATTGTTCAAATATCTTCCTATCAGTGTAGGACAATAGTTTATACAGAAAGACGAAGATTTGTTTGGATTAACGAAAATTCCTTTAATTAAAACAAATTTATCTTTTGGAATAGAACAAATAAACGTATGTTTGATTCAACAAAAACAGGATATATTTGATATTAAATTATGTTTTCTGTATCAAACTAACCAAGTGTTAACAAACACGTATATTAAATCGAAAGAAACCTTTTCCTCTGTGTATAGTGTCATATATAAAGGTTCTCCATTGATCTCTCAAGCTCAAAAAACTTGCAGAATTGATGCAGAACCAAAATATCGATTTGAGAAAATGCCGAGAAGGATGACGATAATTCGGCTGAAAATAGACTTTGCCGAAGAACTCGAAGAGGGAGATACGATAGGATCCGATCAAGCGTGGTTATTCACCCCTCGACTCTCGACGAAAACTTCTGCGAGTAATCTACGCTAAAATTCACCCCGACGAAAACCCGATTCGAGGTATGCCGTCGAGAAATTTCACGCGGCAAGAAAGATCGCGAACTACTATGTATCGCGTCGAGTTCTCCCAAAGGATAGAATCGAGCCCTCGTCGAAGATTCCGCTGTTGACAAACGGCGACGCGGGTGAGCACGCAGCTGACACCTTGGATAAGCAAGGCGCATCGTGATAAGCGGCGTCTCCTCGTCGCGATAAGCGGCTGCGTAGTATCTAGTCGCGCGCGAGATATTAATGGCAGTCGCGCTGGGACCGCCAGTTCTCGTCGGTAACGTACGATAGCGGGAAGTCCAGGTCTTGCAGGTCGACGTATTAGCTAATGTCGCCGCGATTACCGCACCTGGAGTAGCCGGCCTCGGTCGCAATTGGCGGCGGCACGTCGCGTCATCCACACGCGCGCACGCGTTGATACCCACATGCACGTATCGCCCCGAAGACAGGAAGCGTAGAGCGTTGATTGGCTGTCCGGAGGCGGTTGGAGCCGACTGTGTGACCTCTGACCCCACCCCCGTGGGGCGCGCGCGCGCGCGCACGTCTCCAACCCCGAGGAAGTAATTACCTTGCCACCCGCGCTCGATAACCGACGGGCTATCGGCCCGTCCTGACGGTTGCTGATGCGGCGGGGTCGCGCGCGTGTTGACGAGCACGCGCCCTCGACGATACACATGCATCGAAACGGAAAGAGCCTTGGCCACGAACTACCCTGCGAACTGTCGACTGTAAAATCGCCGATAGCACGAGGTGGTGCAGCGAGGGTAAGATGACATTCCGCGACAAGGAAACTCGGATCGATCGCCGCAAGCCTCGGCACGCATCCAGGTTTTAGTTCTGATAGTCGGGTACTCGGGAAGGAGTCGAGAAAGGTCGGGGAGAAAGTCGAGTCAATTACTTTAACTCTCAGAGTAACAACCGCGGTCTTAACGCTGAAGTAATATCATATGTCTCTCAGGCCTACATCGTAAAGAAAAATTGTGTTTCTTTGAATTTTCTTTTGAATTATTAATTTTAATTTACTATCCCTTTTTGTTTATTGCTTTTGTAGGCAACTAGTTGTCACCAAGGAACCAGTCATTAGATCAGACTGACAATATACAGTAAAAATTTTTGTGTTAAAAACGGTCCACTGAATTTTTTGCGTTATTTTAACAAGTTATGAGTATGTTAATTTAACATATATTTGTGTACTTTTTAACACATTCCCCATGTTAAAGTAATATAGCAAAAGTTTCAATGGACCGTTTTAACATAAAATTTTTTTTATTATGTAGCAATGGATCCAACTTTTTTCTAACAAATAATAAAGAAATGGAGTGGGATATAGCGTCTTGCACAAAACGTGGAAGAGGAGGTGAACGGAAGAAAATGCGCGTAGGCCTCGCAGCCCTAAAATGTTACTGTCAAAACGACAGGTAAGATGATCTCAAATTGCAGTGGCGGAGGAAACTTGGTATCATCGTAATAATAAAAAGAAGAAAAAGAGAGATAAAAAGTTCCAAACTGTGTACCGTCGTGAAAATCGTTCAAATTTCGTGAATATCGAGACTCGTGCTGTATGTGTGTGTGTATGCGTGAATGTGTGATGGGTTGGTTGCCTCCTCGAGTATTAAATTAAGTTGCAACCTTTACTCATCGTGACGCAAAGTTACCTCTGTCGGTGCAATCCAACCTTCTTACGGCGTCTAACAGACAAAATTAACGATGCTTCTACCTTGACAGAGATGAGATAATGGGATGGTGGCGAAACATCCTTTGATGTGTGTAAATAAATACGCGCTCGTTAATACGTAAATAATCGCGAGTCTCGTATAATCGGTCCTTTCATCTCCGCGTTAGCATTATTACAGCCTGCCAACGTTCACCTACGGTAGTTCTCTCCCTCGTCACTGTGAGAGAATCGAGCGCACTTTTATTCCAAAGGCTCGCCTTCGACAAATTTCGGGGCTCGAAAGAAGGAGGAAAATGTCAACATTTTGAGAGCAAGCAATCGAAATCGTCCATTCGCGTTATTTCGCCGGCGACTCCTTGGGAGCAAAGTAACCTCAAGTCCGATCGCTTGAACTCTACGTACACAATAGTACTGTAATTAGCGTTATCAATCATGCGCGATCTCGGTTGTGCGAGCGGGGCGGCAATCGATGAAACACGATAGCATATAATAAACAGTATTATCGATTGCGCGCAATGATACTCTATTTGCGCGATTCCCTCCTCAATCCGAGACTGTTATATCTCCGACTGTTTGACCGGAACGAACCCACGCGGGGGCGGAGGGTGTCCGTCGACGAGTGAGCGCTGGTAGTTTCGACCGACGCGAGTGATTTCACCAACGAGCGACGAGAGGAGGAGGACGAAGGGGGGGAAAGGGGGAGGAAGGGTAGATTTCGCAGCGCAAAGTGCAAGAAGAGAATCGCGCATAAGGTCACGCCGTGGGGTTACGCCAGGCAGATCCCCATTGGCAGGCCAGTGCCAAGCAAGAATCGCGATTGGCTGAAGGTCGTGGGTCGCCTCACCTACCCCCAATCCAACGTGACCTCCCACGCGAACTCGCGAGGTAGTAACCGCCGCCGCCACCCTCGCCGGATTCGACGTTGGGGTCGCGCTGCCTCGTCGCGCGTTGCGGCACGCGCAAAAATCCACCCGGTCGGGGGAAAAGGAAGCGCGGTGTTCTGCTCGGTGCATCTGATAACAGTGAGATTAATCGCGGCGCGTTTAAGAGGGAACGAGCACATTTTGTATCGGGGAAATCGAGCCTGATATTTCTCTTTCACGAAAGAGTTGAAACGCAACTTCGCTTCGTCATTGTCCACAACGCGATTCGCGATACGGGTGGCCGGTGTTCGGTCTGATCTTATATTTAGCCGACACTCAGCTTCCTCGATTCTCAACACTCGATTCCTCAATCCAACTTACATTGCGCTTAGAAAGTCAATTAAAATGCAGAAGGAGCTACGGACAACCGTTCGTCATACGTCCCTCTTGTTTCCGACTACCCCTTTAATGGTTTACGCGAGGATCAAATGATGTATCCTCGCATACACGACACGCATCTAAGACGGCAAAAGAGAAGGTAGGAAAGAAGAACGAACTAAAACGAGCGTAAAGTCATAATGCCATTCATTAGTGGGAGGAGGGGGAGAACAACCGGCAATTAACTTCCACCGGGAGCTTTTTTATCGCGCCGCGGTATTATTAGACGAGCGGTCAACCCCCGGTGAACACGAGGGTGAAAATGCCGCGGCGCGCAGATGCGGTAATCCAAATTTAGTGCGATATAAATACAGCAGATTAGAGCGACTGTTCTATGCTTTTCTTTTTATTGTCCCCGCGATTCGTGACAAGGCGAAAAGAATTACGCGCAGACGAAACGCGGCGTGACGATCGTCGGCGTTACATATTTATTCCGTGGCGATCGATCGGGAAATGCGGATTTTATCGACTTGAGTTTCTTAAATTCGAAATTGAAATTCGGCACGTGAGTATTCAATAATAAGCTGTGAAAGTTTTGCACATTTATATATAACCTAATCACGATTCTGCTTCTCGTTGAGATACGATATCGGCATTTCCGTTTTCATGGCATAAATATTAATATGGTATTGTAACAAATATAATTAGGATATAGGCGGGAAAGTCTGGATACAAAATACGTCTCTATGGTGCATTCAATAAATCCTGGAAAACTTTTGATAGGAAACACTGCTTTTATTTCGTATATTCTGTACTAAATTATCATTAAACAATTTGTGTGATTGTAATGTCAAATATATCAAGTTCATTAGCATGTGTATAACAATTGTCGTCCTTCGTGGCTCTTGCGATATTCAAACCACGTAATTAAATCTGAAGCGTGGGGCTAATTACAATGGACCTTTGCAAATACGTCGCTCATTACGATTTAGTAATTGTTTCGCGCGTAATAACGTTGGTATCTGTATAATATTGTTCGGTAGAACGTTATTGCCTGAAACGCGTATAACGTAATTACTCTAACGCAATTAGGAGCACCGCGCATTGGTCTGCTTCTTGTCTCTGGAAACGGGCCACTCTCATGACACAGAGATTGAATTAACGAATATTATAGGATAGACATCAAACCGAAAATCGATAGTACTATTCGGCAGGGTTATTCAATTTCGCATGTAACGATCATTACGAATAAAAACACCCGACCAAAATATCGGAGGATTGTTTGATATGAAACAAAATGCGTGATTTTATGTATATGTATTTTTGAAAATCTATCGAAATATGTAACATTAAACATTAATAATAAACATCATTAATATTAATAATTCGAATAATAATATTATTATTCGAATATTACTTATGATTAATATTAATGTATATTAATGATAATATATTTTAGACGATTTTAAGAATCGTTTAGAAAATGTCTGTCCATGAAAGAAAAAATTTGCATTTTGAAGTTAATTTGCTGCTAACAGTACTGCCCGATACTTTGTAATATCGTTACAATTAAAATTAAATAGCTCTCATGCTATTTTGAATAACGTGTTTAGAATTATCATGATGATCATGATGATCCATCAGAAAGTTTGCGATCGTTTTTGAGAAGATATTTACTTTGTATGTAAGTGAACACCGGTGTCATACAAAGATACGGCAAATTTTCACGGTTATTTTCATCTGTAACGAAGAAAAAAAATTCATTATATGAAGTTTTCTGGAAGAGATGTTTCCTCCTGTATATTTCACTATTAAAAAATATCAAAATTTAGGTAATTATATTACTTATTAAACAGTTGAAGGTTCTATTTTTTGACGTTTTAACACGCTTTACTTTTAAATCCAGTTTATTATCCCACGTTTTGATGACCTGCAAATTACAACAATTGTTACTTTAAGAACGTTACATGTCTATCACGAATTCCATACTTATCAAGCAACTTGAAATACCAACACATGCAAATAAAACTGCAATTAACATTTCTCCACACACCGTGAAAAAGCCTCAGATATCTAAACAATAAGTACAAATTGCAAAACAGTTATTTTCAAGCACAGATATATGCGATTTTATGCAAGTCCTCTCCTGCATTATGATAGGTATATCTCAAGCGTGCATGATCGTGCGAAGATATATTTACGTGTAGGATATTAGGTAACGACGCGCCGGGTATTTTCTTTCGGTTTTAAGGTTTCTGGCAGGGATCTCTTCGTGCTCGAACGACTCGCAGCTGCCAGACCGCAAGACTGATACGAGAACACGCCGTTTCCGCCACTGCCAAAGCGCAGCCCTCCTTAAAATGTCGTGAGGCGCACGTGCACGTGGTAGGAAACCGCAAGGTAAAACTACGTGACTTTTAACTTCTACGCGAAGGAGAGCCATCGATCGGCTTTCGCGCGCTGCACCGACGCCGGGGAATAAACGAGAAAATAGATCTCGCAGCGCGCATCGTAGCGTCACGAAATTTCTATTTATTTCCCTCTCGCGCGTCCACCAATCCCCGCGTCGAACGAGAATAAAAAGGAAGAGAAGAGAAAAATGAAAGAGAGCACGGTGACGCTCGGCGCTGGAACGTGTCGTCCGCGCACCGGTGGATGATGGTTTACGAGGAAGCTCCTTACTAATAGGCAATGAACAACGGAATCCACTCGCAAGTCAATCCAATTGGACAGACTCGAAAGCGAACAGCGACGGGCAAACACGGGCGATCGGTTATCGAAGCGATTAAACGTACATATCGCCGTCCGTGTCCGTGTCTATCCGCCGCGCCGCGCCGTGCAAATATGCGCGGGCAAACTCGAAAGCTGCGCTTCCAACAAGGAGAAACACACCGGTCCGCCCGTCGACGTGGCCCGCGCGTCCGTATGCACAACCGGCGGCATCGTGCTCTCGTGGGAAATGCCGTCGATTATATTTGCGCCATGGCGAGCGCGCAAGCAAGCTACGCCGGAGTTCCGAACGGGGGTGTGGGTCTGTCGTCGCCGTCATCCTCCTCTTCCTCGTCCTACTCTCCTGCCGAATCTGCTGTTTGCACCGGCACTCTAATTAATTATCCGGCGTCTCCGATAATGTAACACCCGACGCGAACGCACACCGCGCCCACTCTATCCGAATATATGCGAGATTGTTACGGCGGCCAACGACAATGAGGACGATTTTCCATGTGCGACCGTAACCCCTTGAAACGAACACGCGCGCCACGACAATTTCGCGAATAACTTCGTCTCCGAAACAAACGCCTGCCTCGTGAAATAATCCTTACACCGTATCGAAAACAAGAGTTTGGTTGAATCTACCTGACGTTTCATTTGTTTTATCATTAGCAGATAGATTGAAACTTTTCTTTCCGTGAGAGAAAAAAATATTTTTGTATAACAAGATAACCACGAAACTCCCACAGTTGGGCACCCTAAATTTGACTTATAGCGAGCGGAATCACAAGAGAACGTTAAACGAAAAGGAACCAAGTCTACTCGATAACTTCCTTTCCCGACGATGAACGCGAAGCGAGCAAATGGAACGCATGAAAGTTATATGTTGACGCTCGCCCACCGAATGGACAAATATCGTCGAGCACCACTCGGTAACGCGGGGAGCTAATAAAAGGAGTCGCGCTGTTCCATTATCAAAGCTAAGGGCTCGTAGCTAACCGCTTCTGTAAATGGACACGCGCGCGCGAGGTCTCTCGTCGAGTCCTTCTTATTACACCGATGCACAAATCGAATTTCATGCGCGCAACAAAGCTCATAGCGAAACCTTGCAAAATCACGCGATTATCCAGTCGAATGCGGTGCAATGTAACTTTCACTGCGACTCGCATATTTCCGTAAATTTGAACGTTTAAATCCTATCTTAAATAAAGATCTTGATTCTTTTAAGGACTTTGATTCTTTTAGATCTTCCTATTTAATTCAGCAAAGAGATTAAGACGCTCAATGATATTTCTTCGTTACTGGATACATTCTTATTATATGATTAGCTTGTCTGAGTCGACCAATTTGTTGTCGACTAAAGCGGCTTTAAGGCCACGAAGACGAATGTAGGTCTCGACAATTAACGGGGGTACGGGCGAAGGCACATTGAACGGATGGGACTTGGGTCTGAAGTACGCACTCGGTAACGTAGAAGGCTAATAGAAAAAGTCACGCGGTGCTATTGTTAATGGACAATACTGCAGATGGTTAAAACGATTCCCGTCGTTTTGAGTCCAACGCGGTGGCGCGCGAAGCCACTTGGCGCGCTTTTGTGCGTCCAACGATTTCGATATGGATGTCGACGCGAGTGCCGACTGATAGCGAGCCGAAATGTTTCGTCGTAAAAAATACCGTTTAAAGAAAGATATAGAGCATTTATATTTATACATTTGCTCAATGGCATCCCGACATCAGAACGTGCGTTTATAAATATCCTCGATGATGAAATATTTCACGCTTCCATTATCGGACAAGATATCAAATTCGGACAGTGCATAAAAGCTTTATACATTCTGTAAAATGTACTACGCATTTTAGCATAGTTTAAAAATTTTAATTAACTTTAACCACGCAAGAGATATCTTCTTTTTAAGTAGACTTTTCTTTCTGTGAATATGTGTGTATATGTGTGTGAAAATTTCAAATTTTTGTTTAGCAGTGTCTCAAGAATATAAATTCTTGGTTCTGTAATGTGATATTAGTTATTTATTATTATTATTATTATTCATTGCTGTGATAAAATAAAAGGAAGTGTTCAGTCTTTGCACGCGTCATTGCATACAATAAGTAAACTGACTTGTTTCTTTATTAGGTTCCTATAAAATCTAATCTTAAAATGAGTGAATAGGCATATAAATGTTCGTATATATTATAGTTTTTAATCAATTTCAGCTTTATCATGCAGTGAAACTTCCCTTAAGGATAGGAGAGGACAATTTAACAAAAACTTGCAAAACGCATACAAACATGCAGAGATTGCACAGAAGATTATTAATCTCAAAAGTCTCAAATATTTCCCACACAAAATATATATCTCAAATATTTCCCACACAAAATATATATCTGTAGTTTATATAATTGTAATTGTTATGTTATAAAATAAATCTAACAAACTCTGTATGAGATCGTGTTACATCAGATTTTCCTTCAATTTATCGACATGTTCTCATATTTTTATGATAGGATTTTGAAATCTTTCATATTTTAATTACAGATATACTCGTGTATGAGAAAACTTTTGTTTCTCCATAATTGATAGAAATAAAATTAAGATTCTATTTACAGTGTACTTACGTCTTCCAGGTTTGAGTCTTTCCAACGTATGAGACGCATGGAGCTAATTAAAGCTATCGCGAAAACTCTATCTTTAAACTTTTCTCCGAATATCATCTTCTGTAACAATCACAGATCATCAAAAATTATAAGAATGCTATTGTATGCATATGTTGAAGTCAAAATAAAAATTTACTCACATATTGTACTATACAATCCCCTCCAAAATCATGAGCGATAATGGCAATATTCTTAGCTTTACAATCTAGAACGTAATCATTCCACACTGTGCTTAAATGCTCGTAACCATCTTCACTACCCTGCATATAAATGGGACAATATTTGAATAATATTTGAATAATAAAAAGTAATCTATGCGATGAATTATAAAAGTACTAAGATTATTATATAAATTACTGGAATTGAATGCATGTACTCAGCAGTGATTCTGAAGTTGTCATTAATATTGAGCACTAGAATGCCATAGCCCAACTTCTTTGCTTCTCTAATATATGAGATTTGAGTACCATAGTAAAAATTGTCATGTATTATCGTATGTCTAGACCATTGACCAGCCTTAGCTCCACAGCCATTAACCAATATTATCAACTTGTCATTTTGAAGACTATCCTTGCTTGCATAGATGAATGATTGAAATTCTATCGTGCTGCAAGATGCTTTTGGTACTGGAAGTCTTTCCAAGTCTTCTTCTTCAAGCAACTTGTACACGTGTTCGTCAATTGCCTGCAACAGAATACTCGGTCAGAATAGTCTTCAATTGAAATTATACTTATAAATGATTATAACTGTAAAGTATTATAACAACTATAATGTTAAACTATTACTTCACATAATGCTTCATAGTGCATCTGATTTCTCTCTGATAGCTCCTTGCTAGTGTCAAATATAAAACTTTTTCCAGGTCTTTTGACATTCTCCAACTTTCCATCTATAATCATTTTCAACACTCACATTTATTAAATCAAATTAATTAAAAACACAGCAGTTTTAATTGATTTACGCCATATACGTGAAGCAAATATTAAATCTGTGCTTCTAAAGATATAAAGCATAAATGTGATTTTCCATATTATTGTTTTAAAAGTCACAATGTAGTTCACAAAGGATGTAAAAATGAAATTAAACAATAAAAAAAACCAGCATGGCATAAAACAATTTCATATGACAATACAGGATAAAGATTATTTGGATATAATAAGCTTTTTGATAATTTTTTTGTTATTTCAAAGATATTTTGCAAATGAGATATGATATTACAAACTTACCTTTAAATATGTAACCAAGCTCATGCAATGTTTTTGATACCTTTGATTGTGACTTCTTCTTCTTGGCATTGTATGCCAGCTACGTGTTTGAAAAAACATTATTTGAAGATGTTACAAATCATAACACTTCAATCATCAAGTGCACGAAATACAAAATCAGAAAATGCACAGTATGTTCAAAAAGGAACAGACTACTAAAAGTTACATATTCTTCACATTAATTATAAATTAGTACGTTAAGTGTATATGAATGGTCGATGATTCAAACTTATCACACACGAATACATAATAAAATGTAAACTTAACTGCGTTCCATACAAGATACAGAAGAACACCGATCAAACTTTGCCAGAACATGTGGATCAAAGCAAATGACTTGATGAAAACTCTTATAAAGACTAATTGATAAGCAATAATGTCTCTCTCTCACACTAAGTATATCTAACAACAACCTAACAACCCAATAATCAAACAACCTGACAACAGGGACACTACAGTGTGTATCCTTCCTTAACAGCCACACGAAACTTACTCTACCGAGTCATGTAATTGTTGTCAAAACAAACAACATCCTGATGCGTTTTGAATTTTTCGGTTAATAGTAGAAGTTTCATATAAACATATAAATATCTATTTTACATGGAAATATATAATATTATAGCACAAAATTATACGGTACACACGTGTGTTTATGTCTACTCGCCGAGACATTTGTAGAATTGCAAATCGAAGACTTACCGACTTTCTCCTCGACGAATTGGGAGTCTAGGACGCTGTGATTCAAACTTCGAGCCGCTATCACGTGACGAAGCCACTTCGCTCAGCTACTCGACATGATCCCACCACGACGAAGACGTACAATTCGCGCGCGAAGCTCTCCTTGGGCGGCTCAAAAGAGTGAAACTCAACAGTTGAAGCGATGGACGGGCAAAACTATCCGGCACTCCCGATACGGATATCTGTTTCGCGAAATGTTCATTTTCGGCGACTATTCGACGATACTTCGGCGAGATACATGCAGGACACCGCGCTCTCGGCACTGTCGGCGATGAAACGCGCGCGAAATTCACCGTCGTCGAGTCGAAGTCGCGAAAAACACGGAGCAGTCTGTCGAATTCAACCGCCATGTTGCGATCCGTTGGATCACTGGTAGCGGTTGTAATTGCGATTCTCGAAGTATCAATGCGCGCCAACTTCACTCGGCATCCTCGTCCAGCCGTTCAGTGATTCTTGCATCCAGGGATTATTCTACCGTATTTCATTACGACATAAATCGCCACGAAACTTACTTTCGGCAAAAACTTGCGAGAAACTCGCCTTCAGCAAATCGAAAACGTGAAAAATCGCGACCGAACTCCGAACTGTAGCACGATAGACGAGCGACGTTACTTTCGGCACTCCCGACAGGCCGTTCCACGAATAGCTCACTTATGGCGATTGTTCGACGGTGTTTCATTGTTCCAGACGTATGAATCTTATTTTGGGTGCTTTAGGTGATGATTCGCGCGCGAGGCTCACCTTTAATCAATCGAAATTGCTGCAAATACGAAGGAGCTCTTACGTTTCGGACCGCCGCGTCGTGATCCAGTTCGGAAAGGACTCCAGATGGCGCGGCGGTTGCGATTTTCGAATTATCGATATTTTCAGCGCGGTGAATCGTCCAATTACGATGATTCGTGTACTCGTTCGCGAATCAAATTCAAGTGTGCACGATCGTAACAAAAAGCGCGTTAATTAAAAAACCAGGAATAAAGAATAAGATATTTTCCATAATTTAGCATGTTCTTTCATTTTCACGTGTCTTTTGGGCGACACATCTTTCTGCATTTTCAAATTATCTTCTTTCTTAAATTTCTAAGTGTTTTTATATTCCACTTGTCGTTGTTGAGTAATTTAAAATAAATTGAGCTAACATAAAACTCGATGGTATAGAAAGAAACTTCTATTTCCGAAAAATCTCATCTCAGTTTATTTTTTATTGTTAGATCTAATTATAAAATTTTCCAGGAAAACTTTAACAAATGCGGAAGATGGTCGTTTAAACTCGTTTCGCTTGAACTACGTTTCCAGTATACATAGATTCCCTTATTCAGTTATTATATACATTTACAATAACGCATATGTACGATTTTTATATAACAATAGTAACAAATGTTAATTTCTTAGTTAGATTAAGACAAGGAATGAGACATCGGATTGATGTTCGAATAAAAAGTATTTAACCTTGTATTTTACAGAGCACACTGTTATGCGAAATAATACATGCTTGTATATTAACGATTAAATGTCGGAATTATGTTTTTCATGTCCATGTGTAAAATCTTAAGTCCCGCAAACATCAATTTCATAAGCTATTCGTTGTTTGTAATCGTTCACCATTTTCTTTGTACATTGCAGGTTAAGAGTTATTTATTAATGTTAATCATCGGTTTAATAAACATTAGTTCAACACAATCAGATTTAAAAATCTCTCACATAACGTTTGACCTTGAAGGACGCTATTACGTCGAATAAGTTTCCCCAGAGTTCGACTTCGAATCATTTATTTACAGTGAATCATGACTTTAATAGCTCCATCTGCTCCAGTTCTGCTGGTTTCGAATGCTTTCATAGTGTCCTCCATCTTGTAGTTATGGGTGATCAAAGGCTTCACATCTATCTTACCAGATGCAATGAGATCCAACGCGTCGCTGTAGCTATGAATCGGAAAAAAAATCATTGTAAATATATTACATCAAATTTGACAAATTTTCATTATTTAGTACGCATATATTATAAATAAGTAACTATTTGTACCAACAGTTGTACAAATTACAAATAATCCACTATTTGTTCTTTTCATTAAATTCATTATTTATGATCACAAGACAAGGAAATATTTTTAATTTATTTCTCCATATTACTGTGTAAAAAATAATGGATTATTTATCTGTACATCTAATAATTTTACAGAGCTTGTTCTCTCACTCATTCACGTATCGGAAGACACCCCTGATGTCGACTTCTCTGACCAATGCGTTAATTAATGGAACTTGCACCTCACGAGCACCCATGCCCACCAGTACTACGACTCCACCAGATTTGGTCACCTAGTCAAGCATACATAAATACAATTTGTAACATACGTAGAAAAAAAATGCATTATATGCATATATACATTATAAAACTAAAAAGAACAAATTTACGTAAAGATACAAAAACACTGAAAAAATATAATATTTATCTCTTGTAGGAGTTTGAAGAGATATTACAAAATTTACTATGTAGGGTATTTTAGAAGTAGATTATCTTTCTTCGGAACACATACGAGAATTGCCAAACGTATTGAAGACTGTGCGCCCGAAGCGTCTATCGTTCTATCAGGTTCATCTCCAAAAATTGCGTGAATATCAGCCATTGTATCCGACTCCGATCTATTCTTTTGTACCAGATATGTATCGTCGGCGCCGAGTTTCTTCGCTATTTTCAGTCTACTCTCTAAGATATCTGTGAACATAAATCACACCTACTTACAACTCGTTCGCGAGATTACATTTAGAACTTGTTGAGATTACATTTAAAACTTGTGGAAGGAGGAGGATTTGCAACAAATGCTACGACGATAAAGTATGCAACAAATAAATTATAACTGTACATCATTAATAAAGCGTATGATCTCGTTCCACAAGTAGCGTCTCTCTCATGCTAAATGTAGCTCATTTGCTTGTCTCACGATCTTGCGATTACGACACCGTTGCAGTCTCCTACATCGCTCGAATGCGCGACGAGATTAATAGTAATCACGATGTTTTTCGCTCGCATTCGTTGTTACGTGATTTGATAACCACTTATCATACGCAAACGGCAAACATGCCGTTAGCGATATATATTATAGTGTAATCACTGCAGAATTTTTCTTAATGGTTATTTATCGCAATTTCTTTTAATTCATAACAGATAAGGGACTGATAGTTTACTGCAAATGCTATGCACACAAACGCAATATACGTGAATATAATGTATATGTGCGTGTGTGAAAAGATAATATATAAAAAAATATAAAAAGAGTTCACAGAAAGACTGCTCCTTACTTGGTTTAATCAAACGAAGAACTATTTATGGATCTTTAAGAGCAAAGCACGGATCTTTTAGATATGATAGATGCCGTTAGATATATTAATATTGTCAATATTAATATATTTATCGTGGGAGGATATTATGCTCGAAAGTGTGTAATTTGTATGTTCGGAATATTCTGTCTGCGTGGAGAATCTTAAAATATCAAGCTTATCCTTTAATCCTAATTAATATATGATTCTCCAATTAACCCAACCCAGAAAAATGACTTTAAATATACACTAAGCGTTACGAAAAATACTGCCTCAGCTTGGCCAGATCTTAAAATGTTTCGGGTTTGGCTTTCTACACGTACCAGTAATAACCACTTTGCTCGCACCCATGGCTTTGGCCACCAATAACGTCACCAGACCGATCGGACCAGCCCCCAGAATTAATACTTTACAATCGATTCCGACTGATCCTCGTTTACAAGCGTGTACTCCCACTGATAACGGTTCTAAGAGCGCTCCTTCTTCTAAGCTCACGTGGTCGGGTAATCTGTTATAAAAAAAATCATCAGGACAGAAACCAATTTTTGTTTTAATCTGTAACGTACTTGAAAAACAAAATAATCGAAAGTAATGAATTCGTGTGGACGAGATGCGCAAGCTCACTTGAAACAGAAGTCAGCCGCGTGTTTGTAAAAACGTCTCAGGCTGCCGTGCACCGGCGGCGTCGCGCAAAACATCATGTCCTTACACAGATTGTAACGTCCTGTCTTGCAAAACTTGCATACCCGGCAACACACGCCAGGCTCGATGGCGACGCGATCGCCGACCTACACCAAGAAAAAACCAAGAATGCGTCATGCATCTCAAACGAGAACAACACAGATAGATTCTTCATTATTGGCTGTGCCGATTTCGCAAAAGTATGTAATTGACGTGTGCGTGTATTCGACTCACACTAGAAGAGAAAGAGTGCGCATACTTTTAAGTTTTTCACATTTTTCCCGAGTTTGGCGACGATACCGGCAGATTCGTGTCCGATGATCATGGGCTCGCGCACCACGAAGTCGCAGATTCTCCCGTTCACGAGATAATGAACATCCGACCCACAGATTCCTACGCATGCCATCTCCAGAAGTACTTCTGCAAAAGGACAATATACATTCGAATGAAAAATAGTCAAAGACGGCTCTCTCGATATCCAATCAGAATTTAGAAGAAAGAGCTTATAGGAGTCTCTGCACGGATTTATTAACATCTATTTTTTATTTAGAGTGAAGGGGCCACTAAATGATCCGTGCTTAGGCTCTTAATGGCCCTTTCACTCTAAACTGATTGAATAACAGAGAGTCTTTTCTAATATTTATCTATTTTTTATGCTTAATTTGTATTTAATCGCGCTAATAAATCCAGAGCAGAGGTTCTCATAAGCCTTTTTTCTAAACAATACGTTCACCATTTACCTCATATCTATTATTTCTATCATTATTTTAACAATAATAATAATTCTTAACCGGTTATATCTTTATCGCTCGACTATCTTTTAACTTCGCACAAACATCTTCTCGCGAACTTATCGTAACTGTGCACACATAGCTTTGCATTATTTATCTATTCTATTCATGATCCTGTGTATATATCTGCGTTATCGCTAAGTAATAATGACTCGAATAGCTTTTCAAGCCGTTGAAGAAAGAAGACGAGAGGAAAACTGCAACAAGCTTTAGATAGAAATTGATCCTCGCGACTTATCACGCCACGCGTATATATGGAACGGCGTTGCACATCGTCCCGACCAGCGTCATCGTGCATGTTAATAGTACTCAATGTAAATTGGTTCATACCAAAGTGTTATGCAACGTCGGGACAAAGTGGCCCTCCCTCGCGTTTCAAACGAGTCCACGAATCCTTTCTTTTATGCGATTTCTTTCTTCAGTAAAAATGACATTATTGAGCCATTGATAAAAAGAATTATCCAATTATTACTCTCTGCTTAAACGTTTCTTAATAATACGTTGCTTATTGCTAATAGCGTTCTGATCATTTTTAGGAAACGTTGATAAAAGCCTCTCCTCACCACCGTCCTGCGGTTCCTCGATAGGCGTGTTCTCCTGGAAAGAAAAGAAAAACAACGTAAGATTTGTGAAAAACTTTATGCAGCATTGGAAGAAAATCATGGTGAAAAAAAGGCTTTTAGCTAAAGTGGATGTGTTCGAACGATAAGAGCTTCAAGGTCGATTCGTTAAAGCAAAAGCACGTGTAAAGTATAATCGATTCGCAAGCCGGCTGCGGTTTCGTGTGTGTAACTGCGAGTTCGAGGAGTCACGGTCATCGCAATCGATGTGCGACGACAACATTTAATGTAAACACTGAAAAATTCGGATAACACTGTGGTCTGAGCCATCATCTCAGACATGAATCGCGTTGCGCAAGATCGAAATAAAAGTTTGAAAATAACAGGACTTTCTTTTCTCTCTTTTGAAGATATACCGACTGCGAGCGTAATTCTATACGATGTTGCGTCATCTTTGAAAATCGCGTATCTCAAATTACAAATTCTTCATTTTTATAGACGTAAATTTTTTTCGAAACATATAAAACAACAGATATGTATGCATAATTTGTACTGCTCACCGCATCACGCGATATACAAAAACATGAGTCAAGTTTATTAGCAAGTGTAATTATATTCGGAACATTCGAACGATTTTAGTCGGTGGGTTGTATGCAAAATAGTTCTGTGTTTCACAAGTCTTCGCAAGCGTGTTGACGCGCAAAAGGTACATCAATAAATCGAGAATAACGCAATAGCGCTGCAAATAAACGCCCAAGTTGATCGGAGCACGTATCAATTGTGCAAAAGACAAGTACGTATAATATAGTCAAACGTGCGCAAAAAGCTAACGTTGATTTTTGCAACACTTAAGCCCGTATTAGTAGTTGTTACTGGAAACTTGTCTCAAGTGAGATACTCAATCTTGAATTCAAAATTAGATGTAAGTTCTTCCAATTGAATCACGATTACAGATGCAATATCAGATACGTCATATGATTCGACTGAAAAAAGTCTAACCCTGAATAAAAAAACTAAGACAATCTTACATGAGACAAGTCGCAACTATTATACAGGTCTTGACACTAACAATTATACATAACTAACAATGTTTCGTCGTACTAATTATTAAATCGATCCGAGCATCGCTTAGTCTCTAATAGCTGTGTGTTTTTTCTCGCCGACGATCAATCGTGATCGGAAATCAGGCCACTGAGGGCACGCGGTTCAATCGGAATAATCATCGGAGCGATTCGAGCGACAGGCAACCGTACAAAAACCCGCTTCGGTACTGACCAGACGTAAATCGTTGATCCCGTAAAGTACAGCGGTGAGATTATCCTTGGCCATGACTCCTCGGCTTCGAAAATTCAGGTCGGAATGCGGCTGTGTCCTTCCTACGGCGTCTCCCAGTCGAGATCCACGCTTCCCAATATTATGATAAACACTGGCGGCACCGCACTCTTGCTTAAGGAAGAACTCGCTGCTATATATACACGGAACCACGGTTATATATAGCATACCAACCGCGCGCTATCACGATGGGCTTGCTATCTCTTCTAGGCTAGACCGCTTTGCCCATCATCACCATCACCATCGTCATCACCACCACTACCGTCGTCGTCAACTACAGCGGTTGCCGGCATTTCTCGATAGTGATCTCGATTCGTTGAACTCGTCTATTTGCCGAAGACTCGTTCTCAGCCGACCATCGACCGCCACCGTCCTGTGATGCCATTGCAGAATACGCGTTTTGCCGGAACTAGTAAATCGATTGCACTATATATACACGTATATATATATATATATATATATATATCATACATCACATATACATGCATTTGTTTACACGTATATGCATACACACGTTCTTTTTTGCTTCCCAGTGTTAATCAGTTTCACGTTAATTACATTTTACTTTAATTACCGACATAGCGCGTATTCAAAGATGCGGAAATTTTCGCATTAATATTCAATAGACAATATAGCACTCAAGGTGGAACTGTTCATTAATCATTTATAAATCTCATGTATATTTTCAACGTAGTAAGCGTAGCGTAAGTAATATCGGAAAGTAGACGAATCGGGTCGTTTTGCGCATCATTGCAATGGCAACCAATAAGTCGCGTGGATGTCGGAAAATGATTTGCAATCCAGACGAATGAGAAATCGGACGTTCGATTCTTGATGATGATGGAAACGAGGTCAGAAATATTTGGCCTTGAGGCGAACGCTCCTTTAAATTCTTTGCGACCTCGCGTCTATTATCTTATCTATCTATAGGATTAGGATCCTACAGGATTAGAATAATAAGCAGAGCGAACGGTAACATCGGAAGCCAATGGCAAACCACTCGCAACTGCGTCATCCTGTAACACTCGAGTGTAACAACATATTACAACGGTGAAGTATAGAACATTGCGAATGAACGAAACGAGAAACGTCTGTATCCGTAAAGAAACGTATATTTTGTATCAAATTATTAACAAAGATGTATCGTTAACCCCAGATCGTCGACGTTCTTAAAATCAATTTTGTGAGGTGCTTTATTCGTCGCTACAACAGATTAAAGATAACGTTGCTCATCCAGGGTTAACTGCAGTCGCGTTTACACTGTATATATATATATATACGTTACCTTACGTATTACTGTACACAGTGAAATAATTTACAACAAACCACCAACATAGGTACATACGCGACGGTTCACTCCCAACCCCATATTCCCGTGGATTCTTTAATCGTAGCCCTATTGTCCCTCCGTATTCTCGTCACTGCGCTCGCCTCCCCTTTGGCCACTGTCTTCCTCGGTTGACTTTTCTTCTCGCGTTTGTCGAGCGATATTTTCATTCTCCTCTTTATCACATGTGGCGCGATCGTGGAAGCCGTCGAGACACTCCACATACTTCGCGTGTCGAAGCAGTCCTCCTTGACGGACAACGCTTCGTCGTCTGCGCTCGAGACGGTTTGTTCTTGAGTATTGCGAGTGTTGACTTCAGACGATAAATTAGACGACGCGGACTCGCTATGTTCCTTACCGGTTGTTACATTCTCTACCGCCGCAGCTTCGCCATTTTGCTCACGTTCACCCTCTGTATCGTTCAGTTCCACGGAATGTGACGTCGCGGACGACGTTTTCTCTGAATGTTCGTTGTCGTTTTTCGACGCCTGCCTCATGGAAACGTCGAACTGTTCTTTCATGGCGTCCTCGACCTGCAACTGTAAATCTTTGATTTGAGTTTGCAGATCCTCGACATCCTGTTCGACACAGTCCTCGTACGTTTCGTCATCACTATCGACTTCTTCTTCTTCTTCCCCTTCCTCTTCATTCTCCATACCCATCTCTATCAAAAGATCTTTTTCCATCTGCTTTGTCAAGCCGCTAGCTCTAACCTCAACGTCTATGCAGTCTTCGCGTCTAAGAAAAAGAAAATGTGAACTTATTAAATCGGTACAATTTTGATTCAACAATGGCACTATTACTTTCAATCACGCCTTTTCTCTATTACTTACGATATATCTTTGAAAGTCGGATACAATTCGCTCTCATAGCCGAAACGTCTCTTGAAGAAATCACGGATGCAGTTCACGTCTCTTTGAAAATAGACTTCCGCATTAATGTGCTGAGTTGAAATCATCTGTGGAAAATCAATGATAATGGGCTTGCCGCTGTCTGTGATCATTATGTTAAATTCATTGAAGTCTCCATGTATAACACCATGATTTGCCAATGTTACAATCAAGTCCATCAGTTCTTCGTACAATGCCTCAACATTTTCTACTTTGTATACACCACACCTATAAATATACACAATCGGAACAATGTAAATAACATGATTATAGATAACATTAATGTTTTATTGTCAACTTACAGAGGTCCACCTTCAACCAGCTCCATAACAACGCAATGCCTGTTAAAATCGATCGGCTTTGGCACAGGGAAACCTCTATCTAAGAGTGCAGTCATATACGCAAACTCTCTGGTAGCTGAAATTCTTGACAAATACAACCAGGATGCAGAATGTCTGTGCTGATGGTAGTCTCTCTTTTCCTTAATATTTCTGAAGCACGTTCTGCCAAGTCTGTGCAACTTCAGACAAGAAGGAATGCCTTCCTCGTTAGCAACAATATAAATATTAGATTCCTTGCCAACACCGATCTGATTGCCAAAGGAAGCTATCGTGCCTCTCTGTGCCAAAACTTTCAAAGCCAAATAGTCGTAGCCTGCATTTGTCAAACGATAACCATCATCTGAAAATGATGTGAACGTTATTTAGTCAGAGTTAAATTCCTAACTAAATCTACAAAATAATGTTAACTTCAGACAATACTTTACATCGTTTTCCTCGCTCGTAGCTGAGCAATTTGCGTTTGCACAACTCCCTTAGTACTTTATGCACTCCACCATGACGCAGATTCGCTATTTGCGCGGCAAGTGACGCAGGCACGAGTTCGTGGTTCTTCATGCCCATCTCAATCTGAAACGTTAAGATCGGAAAAAAAATACAGTTAAAATATCACGAGTGTACATAATTAAGAAGTGATATCAGTCAAGTATTTAGATTTGCCGATATTAATTCTTGAAAAGTCTCTCGCTATTTCTTCGTAAGAAAAGTAAAAATTATACTCACCGCTGTTAACACGCGAAAATCTTCATGCGTTAAATACCGCAGCATCGTGACGTTCAACTTTCCCATGTTAATGGCTTGCAAATGAGACGATAACGATGCGAATATAATTCAAATTCAATCAGTTATATGTTAAAAATACTAATTAATTTCTTCAATTATTTCTCTCATCTATCCGCCTCACGCAATTGTACACGCTGCAATAACGTTCCTAACCTTCGAATCATACACGAAAAAATGTCTACAAGGTGTAGGTGTAGTACGCTTTAAGCCGTGAAAAATTGAGCAATCACAGTCGAATGTGAGAAGAATAATCAATTGGGATTGGTCAATTTCTTACGGCGTAGTCTTACGCTATTGGCTGCGTTCTCTTTGAGCGTTCACGCGCTATAGGCCTCATTGGCCACGTTCAACAGAACGTTTATTTTGCAATGAACGATCTCTAGACCCGTAATTTGAACTCTCTTTTATGAATAAAAATACACTAAAAGCTTAGGAACCACCTAATTGGCTGAGAAGCCTCATTTTTATAGATAACAGAATGTCCAGAATGTGAACCGTCTGGAAAGGACACTTATTGGAAAATAATGTAACAAACGTAGTTTAAGTTTACTTTCTTAGAGAGCGCGTCAGTAAATACGTTCCCTAAAATCCTCACAGAGCTGCGTTCCGAAACCTTACTCGACGAGTGGAGTAATATTTAATTGACCAATTAGGACGAAAAGAGCACTGATTTCTTTATTATGATTGGTTAATTAAAATACTTTAACCGTCGAGCACGGTTTTGGAACGCAGCTCGGGACGGTCGCTTTCGATTCCTCCATGACGCAAAAGTGGAAACTTACTCAGAGACATCTGCCCACTCATCTGCACTTTCAGTACCATATTTCACAAATTTCATCGTGCTTTCGAAGATCCGTGCAGTTTGATCACCACTACGGTAGGGTGAGGTCGCAAGTACGCTGCTCGTTCGCTCGCCCCCTCCTTCACGAATCCGGGCGGGGCAAGGAGCGCGGATCGGCGCGTGCGAATTTGACGGTCGGACGTGTGTGTGTGTGTGTGTGTGTGGCGCGCGTGCCAAGCGTCGTGTTGCACGCTGAAGTTGGCAGTTCATGAGCGGGGGCGGAATTATGACGAGGTGTTCGCGCGCGCCGATCCGATAAAGCGTCGAATTCGCGGCGATATCCGACAGCTATCGCAGGCAATGGGCAGATCCAGCGCGTCCACGAGCCTCGCGCACATCTAAGAGATCCGTCGCTCACCTGAGGTAGTACACTCGAGAGAAAAAAAAGCCGCGGTGCGGAACGAGCGTCGCTCGTATCGACGCGACGGCGTCGGTCTGACGGAGAGGTTCATCATATAACCTCTGCCTCGCGTTCTCGAGACCGCGGGACTTTCGACCGACCGGTTTGTTGATTCATCGGACATCCTTGTAACGTCGATCGCTTTCGTAACAGCCATAAATTACCCGACTATCGGGAGCGATATCGATAAGATTGCGAGCACCTGAGCTCTGATTGTGTTTATCAGCGAGAGTCAATGAAATTCGTTCGTGTGCACCGGAGCACGTTGGAATCCCGTCGCGATTCGCGGGAACGTCCAAGCTGCGCGGTCGGGATGCGACGATCGGTATCTTAAGTCATTGTTCCGCCGAGAAGTCCTTGTGTTTGCCCGCCCGCGCGATGCACCGTCCTGTTATTTTTTCGCACGTCACGCTTCTGTTATCAGTTCGCTATCTACATAGAATTTCTGAGTCACTTTGCGCAAACGGGCTCTACTTGTACATTGTCCCGGGTCGTCGCATTAACGTTTGTATTGCGAGCCGCTCGGCCGACCGTGACATACAAGCATCAACGCCGCATTATCTATATTCGTACGTAAATATGTATGTGCGGCATATATGCAATAGCAGAAGTGAAGGCCAGATTAATCTTTCCGGTGAAGTTCAAAAATAGTTGCTCGCATCATTCACCGAGAGTAACTACTGCAAAAACTATTTAGGTTAAACTACTGCGCTGAATGCGAGTTACGATTATGCCCTTAAATTGTGTAACGGCCGACGTAAAATCGCAAGAGATCAATGTGCCTTCGATGCTTAGACTAGACTGTGTATTACGGCCTGAGCTTGCGAGTGTGATATTTACTGAATGTATGTTCTGATTTTCAGGAATAATGTTGAACAGTATAGCAAAACACATTTTACACTGCTGCCTGTTGCTCGTGGTCATACTCGTATTCGAATTCGTATCTGGTGGGCTTCGATGGAACACCGACAAGAAAGAAGAGATTGACCCATGGCAACGATACGGATTCTTAGGCACAATCACTTTATACCTGCTGCGCACAGTGACGTTTCTCTCTTTGCCACAAGTCTTATTCAACTTCATAGGATTAACATTATATAATGCATTCCCTGACAAAGTAGTCCTGAAGGGCTCGCCGCTGCTCGCGCCGTTTGTCTGCATAAGGATAGTCACGCGCGGTGATTATCCGCAATTAGTGAAAGCAAACGTGAAGAGGAACTTGAACAAATGCATAGAAGCTGGCCTCGAGAACTTCCAGATCGAGGTGGTGAGCGACAAGCCGGTGGGCTTGACTCCTCACCGTAGAGTGCGGGAGGTTGTTGTTCCTCCGAATTATCGCACAAGTAGCGGTGCCTTATTTAAGGCTCGTGCTTTGCAATACTGCCTTGAGAGCTCGGTGAACGAATTAGCCGATCATGACTGGATCGTCCATCTCGACGAAGAGACCTTGATGACTGAGAATTCTGTTCGCGGCATATTGAACTTCATATTAGATGGCAAACATCAGTTCGGCCAGGGATTGATCACTTACGCCAACGAAGATGTCGTCAATTGGATCACCACGTTGGCCGACAGCTTCAGAGTAGCGGACGATATGGGCAAATTGAGACTACAATTCACCATGTTTCATAAGCCATTCTTCAGTATGAAGGGATCTTATGTTGTGACACAGGTAATCATTTTATCGGTTGCCTTCGTAGAATAACCGATAATTCTCTCAGATAATTATCTCATACCGAGAGAAAGATTAAGGCTACGAAAACCGCGCTACATCGAATCGGTGCGCATTAAAAGCTGCTATACATGAAACTGTCGTTTAAACGTAAATGTATAAATAGTTTGAATAATTATTCACCGAATAATGACATTGTCGCATTACTTAGCATAATATATATCAATCACGTCATCAATATGCTTCCATTATGCCGTTGCATTTAGATACTTACGTAACGATCTTTGGCGCGCATTTAGTCGGTTTAGCGTCAGTGATCGAATCTGCAATTATTTATGCTCACCGATTTAACAGTTCCTTCCCTGATATTTTAAGCTTCCGCGATGTGGAGAAATATTTAATTTGGCTTCTGGTTTAGTCTTAGAGTGAACGATTTGTTTCCGACGTTTCGGAAAATATTCTAGTTCGGAAACAAATCATTCACCCTGTGAAAAGGGAAATTAACCACTTTTCTCTATCGTGGAAGCTTAAAATATCAAAGAAGGAACTGTTTAATCGACGAAAATATTCTAGTTCACGATGAGGAAATGAATCTACGAAGAACGCGGCATTAATCTGAAAGTCAAATTAAGCAGTTCTTTCTTTTTTTTACAGATGGGAGCAGAAAAACAAGTTTCATTCAACAACGGATTGGACGGATCCGTCGCGGAAGATTGCTTCTTCGCGATGAAGGCGTTTTCCCAAGGGTACACGTTCAACTTCGTCGACGGCGAGATGTGGGAGAAATCGCCGTTCAGTCTGTGGGACTTCGTGCAGCAGAGGAAAAGATGGCTACAAGGTATTCTACTCGTCGTGCATTCCAAAGCGATTCCACTGAGAAACAAATTGTTACTGGGCGTCTCGTGTTATTCGTGGGTGACGATGCCGCTCTCGACTTCCAACATCGTTTTAGCCGGACTGTGTCCGATCAATTGCCCGCCGCTAATCGATTTTCTGTGCGCATTCATTGGCGCGGTAAACATCTACATGTATGTGTTCGGAGTCGTTAAGTCATTCTCCCTGTATCGTTTCGGCGTGGCTCGATTTATGCTATGCATATGCGGCGCGCTGTCCACTATTCCATTCAATATAATTATCGAGAACGTCGCGGTGATATGGGGCTTGTTCGGCAAGAAACACAAGTTCTACGTCGTTAACAAGGAGTACAGGCCACCGGTGACCGTATGATGCGACGTTAATTTAGAACCCCCGTCTGAACTGACACTCAACAGCTATGTAAAATTTCCATTGTGCATGCGCATTATTAGTACCTGTACATCTATATGAGAACATACGCTCACACACATATACACACACACATTATAAAAAAACGAAATATTTATAATTAGTATTACCCAGTTATGCTATTGTTAGTTTGTTAGGTAGAAAAATCGATCAATCAATTTCAGTACAGGAATTGAAAAGTATATGTCTCTATGCAGCAATAGGTATATATATATAGGTGCAGTATTAAAAGTATACTTTATATTTTGGCATTATAAAACATTGCCAAAAATCTGTTGAAAAGTATTCATCTCTGTCACAGACATATATATTTATGCCAATCATACTCTCATAGTGCAAAGTCATACATGTTATAATCTTTCCTTTGATCTCATGCAAACGTGTTTAGCGTTCATTAAGTTAGCATCCGTATCGTTTCACGTGTTCCTCCCCTCACATTAAACTCGCGTACTTCTCTTACATTCTTTTTGTTACCATCAACATAATTGGTTCTCGTCGTGTTCAAAAGTATCTTTTGTTTCTGCCATATTCCGTATTTTTACTTTGTTTTGTCTCTTTTTTTTTCCTTTTTAATATTGTCCCATGAAATGTTATGAATAATTAATAACAATCCTATCTAAAATATCTATATTTTACTTAATAGCAATAAGTCCTTTATACACATCATTAAAATTCGGACTACTGTGATAAATCTTGCTTTCCTATATAATGATAGCTTTTTTATATTTTAGAAAAATATACTTTTCTTTTTAATCGTAATGTTGATGCAAATTTGAAAAATAGTAATATGAGCCAGAAAATGTTCATTAATCGTTTGATTTCACACCATTCTCTTAAGTGATGTAACAAAGCATGATCGTATGGCGTATATTTATGAAACAGTACTTAATAAGATCAATTGTTTGATGAGATATAAAAATTTTTAAAGAGATGTGAAAATATGTAGTGACGCGTTTTTCATGATAAAATTGAAAAGTCGCTTATGTCATACCATTATCTCAATTAGTAATTTATAAAT